GTAAGCAGCCTTGGGTGTGACGCCTTCTGCAAGCCACAAATAGAATGTAATTCTGTGGGAAACGCTGCATTTCATCACATCAGTAGATCGCAGAAGGCGAGGATCCCTAGGCACATCTGCCAGCTGTCCACACGGAACATTCAAGACACAGACGCAAGTTTTTATCTTTCACCTCTGCTATAGATAGTGTGATCTAAATATTACCATTTTCTCAAGTCACGGAAATGAAGTGATGGAGATGCTCTCTCCTACAACCAAACCATGTTCGACCTGGGGATGAAAAACTCTTGTGTATTGGTCCTACGTGTATCCTTTAACCACTTCTAGCATGATATACTTGGCACAGGTTAACGCGCAATGAGTTGTGCTGATGGTCGTATTGCCTTTTAAAAAAAATATGATCATTAACATATATTCTATACCTCCACACGTGTAGCTGAATCCATAGCATAGCCATAATCTCTACTGGTGCATAATTTCTGCCAGTTACAAACCACCGCGCACCCATTTGCAGTCTTTAAATTTCTGCTCCCACATCTCTTATTTTGCCGTTAATTATTCTACATATCCTGACTTTATTCTTATTTCCTAACCCCTCTACTCTCATAACAGACGTGCAGTCTCATGCTAACAGTTTAATTAGTACTTAGGAACCGTTTAACAGGTTCTTCAGAGAAGCGGCGCAAAATCACAGCATTGCTCACATAGCTCCAAGACTCAGGAGACATCAAGAGCACTTCTGTGACAGCTCAGCAGTCCCTCCTCTACCACAGAAACACCTTGAAATAACCTTGATCTGCCATACCATCGTTTTTTGTGTGTGTTGCGACTAGTCAGTTTGCATGCCTTGTCTGTTTTGTTCCGTTTCTTTTCTTTCATTTGACTTCAAAATGCAGTGAACGTCTGCCAGAGCCATTGAATTGACTTCTGAGGAAAGCTTAATCTATGTAAATCTTTGACTGCTTGTTTGTCAAGTGGCTGATCAGAGACAGTTCACAGTTGGTGTTGAAGGGGGCTTTGAGAGCTCTCGTGCTTTTTTTTTTTTTTAAAGTAGGCTTGGCTCGCAACGCGTCGCTCCATCGCCCACCCCTATGGATGTTTGAGGCTGCCATTCAGCTCCGACGTGCAAACAGGTGACATTCTGACAAGTGATGACTTGTGGTTGCTGGGTTTAGCCCGCGCACCTGGGTTTCACTCGGCAAAGCGAGAGAGAGGCGCTGTTTGGACCAGCTGATGTTTCTGTGTGCCAAAGCCTTACAGCTGCTTAGCTGTGTCTGTTGCCTGCGTCTGTGTTTAGGCACACGCTTGCTTCTCGAGTAAACACTGTGTGTAGTTACTGTATCGCTGCTCTGATCATCTCGGCACTTGCTCGTGGTGAATTTGCTGGCAGATCAGAGATGTGTTTGCTGTATCAGAGTGGTGCAGCACAGTGCACAATCAACATATCCATTGTTCCTAATGAAGTGGCTGTACAGACCGTCTTCATGGCAACAAAAAGAATTGTTTTCTGCACATTTTATTTCAAAATTACCCAAAAATTATGCTGCCTGAGTGTTTAAATTACAGTCAGCCAACAGATACACCTTGTGGTTTTCTGCCACCATAAATTATGTCACGATACAAAGCGAAGTTGTTCTCTTGAGCTTCTACACAAGAATAGGAAATGCCTCCCCACAGCCTGTTATCAATTGAGCCCTGGTGGTTGGCGGCGGATCACGTTCTGTCTTTGATAGCTCCGAGGATCTGGCAGCTGAACACCCCCTCTCCTCTGCTTCTCACTTTGGTCTCGCCTGTTTTCCGTCCTCATCATCTGGCAGATAATTGTCCCTAGAGTTATGGGTTTTGTGTGTGTGTGTGTTTGTGTTCATAATTGAAAGCAGCAGCCGTCTCTCCATAACTTCCGGTTCGATCGCCCCGCCCTCCGTCTTTGTATAGCCGATCCATAGGGTCGGGGTTGGTATTGATTCGGGTGCTTTTTAAGGGAACTCTATTTTTATCAGAAGCCCAATCCATTTGCGAGCCTTTGTTTGTTTGCTCTAGACGCGCCGCTTATTAAATATTTCCCATTTGGTGCACTGCTCAGCGGCGTCGGTGGAGCAACGATGAGTGAGCCGCAGTAGCTCAACAGTAGCAGCCAGTTTCAATTAGATTTGTCATAGCGTGTCAGCGAGTGAGGCGAGCGGAGCCACATTAGGTTAAAAACAAATAAACAAAGCAGCTGTTTCTGAGAATTCAAGCTGAATCTGCGCATTAGCAAATTGGTCATGAAGGGGGAAGTCCTTTTCAAACCGTTCTACTACAACAAACTTCAGTGATGTTTCTTTTTCCAAATGAGTTCAACAATATCAGATACAAGTTATTGATCAAAACATATCTGCCAACAAAATTCTAATCACGTGCTAATGTAGTATGGATATTTTGTAGGCCCAAGGTGTTTCATTCAGTAGTAAAAGAGGAGTTTGAGGTTGGTGCTAAAGGCTGTAGCCGTTGACCATCATCAGGTAATTTCACGGTCAAGTTGTCTCGATTCAGCGCAGTAGAAGACCTGTTAACCCTGAGCCAACGCTCCCTCTGGACCTACCTGCAGCAGCACATGTGCACGTACACAAAACACAAACGGCCCAATTATTTTAATGCCATCACTGTAACACATGGCAGCGTTGGGCGGAAATAATGACATGGGCCGAGAAGGCCGCTGATGCGAACCAGATGAGGCCCCTCTGACTTAAAAGGCAGAGGGGGAGGAACAAGAGCAGGACTGGACAAACTGTGAAATGACAATACAGCACGCGCGGTGAGGTCGGCTGAGTGGCTGAGATTCACATTAAATCATCTGTGCACATGTGACAAGTTCACCCAAACACAAAACTGTAGATACTTTCTCACACTTGAGAATTCCTCTTTGCTTCCTGTTTTGTTTACTGTACAGGTGCATTAATACGTCCGTGCACAGTATCTGGGTTGTTTCTTTTTCAGTTTTTTTTTCTTCTTCTTCTTCTTACATGTGGAGATGATGTTATTGGAAACTAAGTGGATCCTTTTTATGTGAGCAGTGTTGCAGCGAGCTTGGCCCTGGGCCTGCCCGAGGCCTGGTTCAGCTCTGATTTGCTCTAGCCTGGCCACAAAGTGCATTTCTCTCTCATGCGGCCCCTGACCTCCTGACGCATTTCCTGACCCAGGAAATAGAATTAACACCTTGGTCTGGGCCTTGGGGTCCGACAGCCGCATACACAGCTGTGCATTAGCCCGAGCCCAGTCCAGACCCAGCAGACTAGAACACCGATACAACTGAACCAGAGATAGAGAGGAGAAGACGGAGGTTTACTTTGGAGCATGTGAAGAAAGCTTATTCCAGCTGATTTGAAAGCATTTGTATGTTTTAGGGGTTTTTGTGCCACATAAACTTTAGCATCTCTGGAAGCAAATAGGGAAATTACAGTTTTCTCTGGTACATGATCATAAATGACTGTTTCTTTTATAACTGTAGCTCATTTTATCTTCAAAATAAAACAAAATCACGAGATGCTGTATCATGTGACTATTATACATTTTCACTCAGAAATCAAGGGATTTTCACCAATGATTATTGTAAACGACAACATCATGAAAAAACTGATCTGCGAAGACAGATTGAGGGCTCACATTTTTTTTGTATTTTCACCCCCTGATCTCACAGATTTAAGCTGATGAAAACATGTCGAAAGGCCACATTGTAATCAGCATATTTGATCTTTTCTTTGGTGGTTTTATGTGGAACTTGACTCTGAGTTCGGGTCGATATCTTGTGCATCAGATATTAACGGTGCAGCCCACTCCTCAGTGTTCTTAAGAACAAAAATCTATACAATATCAAATGCAATGCATTCATCCAGGGTTTTTTTTAATAATATGATGGTGCTCCAAAGTCATGAGTGTAGTAAATCTTGAAACTGGGGTTTAAGAAGAGAAAAGTGGATTATCTGTTTATTAGATATTTTATGTGGACCGTATATCAGAAAAAATGGATCTTGATAGTCCATAGTGTAAGTGCCTTATCTGTTTTCTTCATTAGTCAAAGGCTTTTATCAGGCAAGAAAATACACACATCTATGTGCATTTACTCACTTACCCAGACACACACACACACACACACACACACACACACACACACACACACACACAGATTAGCTAGTTCCTGCGTTTAAGCACCCCATATGTTTGCATTTTAGTCACACATTGCCAATCTCATGGGAGCACTTTGAAGCATACTCCTCCAGAGCAGATCATAAAACAGGAGTATAAGTAGTTTTTCACATAGTTGTATCCCAGAACACCCCCACCTCTACCACCTCCCACCCGACAGCTCGCTGCCTCCACCTTCCACCTCCAGTCCATTTACTCTCGGCGTACAGAATGAGCGTTTGGTTCAGAGGTTTGCTATGACCAGGCGTAAAGCGGCTCCGCTCACATTGTTTCTTTTCATATGTCGCACAGAGAAGCTCACAAAGGGAGACGATCGCCACATTCGGTGCTGCTGTAGTCTTTATGAATTGGCCAAGGTGACGTACGTTTCTTTGAAGGCTCACAGGAGCAACATATGTACAACGTATGCCATAATAGCTGTTTCTTTCCATTCACACATTTTGTTTGCATCTGCCGAATGTTTGCAACACATCTGTCTGTATCTCAGCCCAACTTCAACGCCTCAACATTGCTGAAAACTCATTTGAATTTTTCCAAACCACATCTGTACCCCTCGAGTTGCAGTGTAGGAGGTGTGCAACAACTACACACAAAAAACACTTAAACTGCATCTACAGCGTGGTGTTGAATTCCGATTGAAGTCAAACTGATGAATATTCACTGCTGCCTGCAGTAGCAAAAGATATGTTGATATATCACAGTCTGTTTCCTTCTTTTTGGTGTGATTGTGTCTTGCATGTCGAACGATTTGTCATTTTGTAATGTGTTTTTGTGTTTCCTACCTGTTGACTAATATACTTGTTATTCTTTCTCAACAGTACTTTGAGGTGCCTTTCGACTCCAACATGAACCGTACAAAGAACCGCCCGCTTGTCAGAGGACAGATCAGGTACACTCTCTTTATTTCCTTTCTTTAACCGTCTCACACCTTTTTTTTTTTTTTTTGGTCCTGTCACATTTTTTACACACAGGGTTTATTTTTCACTGTAATCTAACATCCTGTACCTGCCTGGGAACAGCAGAACCGTGGTTAGAAGTAGAGAGAACTTAAAAATGTCTTTTGTGCAGTAAAACAAAGCTTTAGTGCCACAAAGGAGAACAAAAGTTTAATTTGTCTGATTTTTTTTGTTGTTGTTGTTTATTTTTTATATATTGAATCAGTCTTGGTTTCACAAATGTACCAAAGATCAGAGAGTGTTTATTTTTTGCCAAATATGGTTAGTGTTAGTATTTTTTTTAAATATTTTTTTAAAGTGAAACATGTAGAAAAAGTGATTTTGATTATAAATATCATATATTTATCAGATATTTAAATATCATGATTTTAAGCTTGACTTTGCATCATTTTAAGAATGGAACTGTACACTATGGATGAGTAGTTAAAGGACTGTCGGTTCTTTTTGTTTTTTTGTTTTTTTTTTTAATGATAAATGTTGTAGCTTTGGTCATTTTTTTTATTTTAAGATAAGAACATCCCTTTCAGAGGGTTACTAGAATTTTTCTCACAATCTTCTATGTAACAGATTTGCTACCCTATTTGCAGTGTTTTTAAAAGGAGAGTGAAGAACGACTGGATAATGTGCAGGAGGAGGGAAAAAACAGAGCATGTGCTGGGGTTGAGTTTAGTGCAGTAGCAACCCAGAAACACTACGTGACAGCTTCTACTCACCTAACCAAGTAGCCTTTTGTACATTTCATACTGGGGTGAGTGACAAAGTGTACCTCTGTTCTCCTGCTCACTGACCTGATCCTTACCTTGGGCTTCAGAGGGATTTTTTCCTGGAGTGAAACATGACCTAACAGCTTGTGATGTCAAAGCCTATGTGCATTTGCAGGCAATATTATAATGAAGACTCCAGCTTAAATAAAACAGTAGCACTGAGCACACATCCCATATTGATTTCCACCCTTCAGTCATCTTTAGTTATTGCGTTCTTTATGGCGTTGAAGGAAACCCGTAGCTGTGTATGTAGGTTAGTGGCAGACAGAGGGCCGAGACGTGCATGCCAGCAGTGATGATTCTCTGCTTTACACCTGTCAGGTGTAATTTAATCTTCCTAACAGGTTGGGAAGGAGGCAGGGCGAGGTCGAGGGTCGGGTGTAGTTTGCCTGCCACCCTTAGTTCGCTGCCTTTACTGTTCAGATGTCAGATAACCTTTGCATTGGCACTTGGTGAACTTTAATGCTGTGCCACGCTCCAACAAGTCGTACTCAGTGACTTGATATGCCTTTCTCTACCTGCCTCTTTGAGAGACTGCCACACTTCAGCAGCAAGCAGGTGCACAGATATTCACTGATGCATGAACTAAAAACAACACAAACCAGCCACATGTCCTCTGACCCGTTGTGAGTGCCAGGAAGCTGCCTCTCCTTTCGTTTTTATTGAGGAAGAACCAAAGCAAAGCTACCTGTTGACATAAGAGGACCCTCCACTACTAATCCAGTCCACATGCAGCCACCAGAATAGAGGCTGAATACCTTTGTTGCCGGGTAATATACACCAGCTTCATAGCCACTTTACAGCCCACTATAACTGCACCTTCACCCACAGATAGCTCATCTCAGTTTTAGGAATTCTCCATTGACATGCTGTTTAAAAGTGGACACTCACAGTGTTTGAGGTGGTTATTGGAAACATTTTCTCGCTGTCTAAACACAGCCTCTTCTCTCCGGCTTTTAGTCCATCTCTGACATGAGGAGGTATACGTCTGTCTGTCTCTGACACAAACAGAAACGCTTTATCTCTTGCTCTGTGTTTCTCTTTGTCTCCTCTCTCTTCCTTCACACATACAATCTTGCGTCAAGACAGAGAACAGATGGGAAGCTGGACTGTCCTGTCAAACAAGCCATCAGAAGGCCACATTTTACACATTCTCCGTGTTGTCTTCGCGACGGGGCTTTTCTACGAGCCAATTTCAGTTCTGTCGGGGTTTGCTCTGCCCAACATGACGTCAGCATTGGAAACAGTTTGTCTTGTCAGGACAACCGTTGTGCATCATCCTCCCCGTTGTTAATTTGGTCTCTTGGGAAATGCGGATGACTGTCGTCCTTCCTTTGTTGTGGTCCTGTCGAGTTTGAGGCCTCCACATGTGGTGATGCTGGAATACTTAAGGTTTGGCACGAGAAGGCGCACGGTAGATCGTTTTCTGTCTCCCTCGAGGAAGATGACACACACTGCAATTGCTGAAGCAAAGATAGTCTGGGAATCGCAGCAAACTGGATTCACAATTTGGCATCTATTTTAGCTATTTGACAAATTAATTTACCTCCATGTCCGCTCGTTGGCCCCACAGCTTTCAAAAACATCTCACGGTGTTGTTGAGATTTTGAGATTATGTCAGATAAAGTCAAGACTGAACTGCAAGTATTTCAATCTTGAATCAGAAATCACTTTTAGGAGACTTAAAAAAAATCTGAAAGGTAGATAGATAGATAGATAGATAGATAGATAGATAGATAGATAGATAGATAGATAGATTAAATATAAGGAAAATAATGTGTAAAATAACATGTAAATTGTGCTGAGAGAGGAAACAAATGTTAGAAATCGTGCTGTTATTTTAAAGTAATAAACTATTAAATGTCTAAATGCAATATAACTATAAAAATAATAATAAGTTATTTACTTTGAGTAGGAATTAATGTATGTTTATCTCCATGCAGAACTGAACCTTTAGGTCTTTTTGCAGCCTTGAGCATTCCAACAAAGTCAGTGTTCTTCATTCTTTTTCTATGTAAATCAAAGCACAAATTAAACAGGGAAAACTGTTTTTGATGGATGTCTTTTGGATGTTTTTGTTGTGAGAATTCATGTCGTAGTTACTCCATCGGCCTTCCAGGGAGCACGCTTTTATACGTCTCGTTCAGTATTTGCTCCATTCTGGTTGTAAAAACAAAAATTAATCTTCACGTGTTTGTGGAAGTCGTGGTAATTTGTAGTCTGTTTCCAGTTTTACACCAACCCCCTGAAGCCACCGGTGTTTCCGGTCAGGCTTTTGAACAGTTCAGAATTGTTGTTTTGTTTGCTTTGCCCTCTGTGACCGCTAAAATATTCCACTGGTAACCTGTTTTGGGTTTTTTTTAAAGTACATTCATGCTGTTTCTTCAAGCTAATGGGTAAATCTCTTGTGTTTTAGCCTTTGAATCCCTCTGGCCTTGACTGTGGTCTAACCATGCGGCCACATCTTGGGCTCCCTGTGTTGACTTTACCTACCTGACGTTATGACTGCGGCTGTGAGCGCAGGACAGTAAACCCGCCTCGGGCCGCGTGACGTACTCCCTTCCCCGAACCCCCGCTGAGCCGACCCCGCAGCCAGACTGTCAACAGCCCATAGCCAGCCTGCCCGGCCCCATCCCAGCCCACATAAAACAGACATAACACCACTAATCACATTAATGCACCGATCTCCCTGCACGGCCACACCACCAAAATAAAAGCCCTGTTTGCTTTTTTGTGAAGAAAAAGGGCCTGCGTTTGGTCAAGATTTTAATCTAGCCTCTCTTTAATTTATGGAGCATTTACTGGTGAATTTGAACCAGACCTTGCCATCGCTGCTTTCAGTTAGAGACGAGGGGAGGAGGAGGAGGAGGAGGAGGAGGAGGGAGGAAGTCTTCATCCGGCTAAAAGCCTGAGCCACAGTGGTTTTCTTCAGCTAGTTTTGATCTCTGGCGTGTGCACATGCTCTTCATTTTGCTGGACTACTTTTATCCCTGACAAACTCTTATCAGATGAGTTTCCTCCCGTTTTGAGACTCCGCCATTGCACGGCTGCTGAACGCTGCCCCCCCTCCCCTCCCCTCCATGGGTCTGCGTCAGTCAGCGCTGAACATGTGGAGCTATCGTTGTCTTATCTGGTGTCTGCACAAACTCGCAAAAACTTGATCATACCATAGTTCCCATGGCAATCGTGATCTTCTTTTTTTTTTTTCCCAAGCCGTAATCTGCGCACTGTAACTTCTAAAAACCCATCTTTTAAACTTGTTCTTGTATTTTCTTGTCTTGCTGATGTCCCCCTCTCTGTTTTTCTTCTATTGCAGCCCCCTCCATGCAGTGTCCTTCGCTCTGGCCTGCGGAGTTCCTGGAGTCGCTCTGCTCACGCTGGCCGTAAACCCTTTGACGGGCTTCCTGGGCGCCCTCAACATCTTCCTGTACACCTGCTGCTACACGCCGCTCAAGAGGCTCAGCATCACCAACACCTGGGTGGGAGCGGTGGTCGGCGCGATACCTCCCGTGATGGGCTGGACGGCTGCAACGGGTTGTCTGGAGCCAGGTATGACCGTAGCTGACGTAGAAAGTTGTTCAGTATTATTCGGTTGCTGGACAACTTCAGCTTGAAGTAATTTATGAAGTACACATGCCAAATATTTCCTGGACACAGCTCCTCAGCTGTGTAGATTTACTGCGTTTCTCTGTTTTATATCACTGTAAATCAGATGTGTTTGGGTTTTGGACTGTTCAAAGGGAAGAACAAGCAAACCTCTCCAGTGAAGTGGGCTTTTTAGTTGTTATTATCTGACATTTAATGACACTTAAGGATCAATTAGAGACGGCCACATTCCGCCGCCTCCGTATCACTGCCCTGATTCACTTCATGTTTGTGTTGTTACTACCCTCACCTTTCAAATTTGCCGCTGTGTGATGAAACACAAACCGAGAATATTAGCGTGAGCTGAATGCCTCTGCTATTTCCACTTCGTAGGACAAAGAGCTGCTTTGTAAAGTTCCGATAGTTTTATCTGGCCTCCGAGACCGCAGCCTTGCCAGCTGTTTGGTGGAGCAATAAACAAAATATCTTTGGGCTTTTGACTAAATGCGCAGTTTGAAGATATCACTGTGAGCTTTTGACCAATTTCGTATAATTTTACGGACATTTTATAAACAAGTTATCCATTAAATTAAGGAAATATAACAGTCATAATTTGCTGCAGCTGTAATTAATTTTATTGCTGTGTAATCAATTTTTTTGGGTTCATCGTCTCTGAGCAGGACTGATCTCACACTACATAAAGCTTTATTTTCATATTACCTGTAGTGATGTTTCTGTGGAGCTTTGGGGCAAAAAAAAAA